GTGTGTATAGGGGGCAGTTTGTGTGAATGGGGGCAGTTTGTGTGTATAGAGGCAGTTTATTGTGAATGGGGGGGCAGTATTGGGGGCAATGTATGTGTGTATGGCTTTTTTTTAATATATTTTTTTTATTTAATTAAAATAAATATTATCCTATGTCCCTCCCTTCTTACCTTTACTGGGGAGGAGGGGGGACATATTTAGATCCCTGGTCGATCCCTGGTGGTCCCAGTGCGGGTCCCAGTGTGGAGAGTGAACTCTAGCCCGCGCTGCCGGGCTAGAGTTCACTCTCGCGAGATTTGGAGCGTTGCCATGGTAACCGCGTCAACGCTCCAAATCTCATGAGAGGAGGACCCTCTCGGGTCCTCTCTCTCAATCCCTCCCTCCGCCGCCGGCCGCCAGCACAGTGCCTGCGGACTGGGGAGGGAGATCTCTGATCTCTGATCTCCCTTCCGGTCCGCAGGCACATTGCAGGGCTAGCGCCTGCATGTGCTGGCAGGGGAGTGAGAGGGAGACCGGCGGATTTCTCGGGGGGGGCAATTGCCCCGTTGCCCCCCCCTGGATCCGCCACTGGCTCTGAGACAGCACAAGACTATGTTCAGGAGAAGCCTTATAAGGCTTGTGGGTATAAATATTGTGACTTTTGATGTTTTGATCTGTCCTTTTGCTACAACTGGGCCCGATGTCTTCTTATACGACTTTGGTGGATGTTGTAGGTTCCTCGGCACTCCGTGGTGCCCTCTGCGCCATATACATGCACCAAGGGAACCATGTTAGGGCACATTTTCCAAGGTGCCTCATAGCGAGGCCGTGAGAGATTCCATACTGTATATGTCCTCCACACTGTTCATCCATTGTTCGATGGTCGGTAGGTCAGCTGTTCGCCATTTAAGTGGTATAAGCGATTTGGCTTCGTTCAGGAGGTGCCTGGTGAGAGATCGTTTGTATTTTGAAAGGGAAAGAGATGTGTGGTGTAGCAGCATCGGCAGTGGCTGAAAGGGCAAGTCCGGGTCTAGGATTTTGGTGTTCTCGGTGTGTACCATTCGCCAGTACGGTGAAATTTCCATGCACGACCACCAGATACGTAGGTCCATCCCTGGTTCACTCCTGCATCTCCAGCACACCTCGGAGAGTTCTCTCTTCATGCGATGTAGTTTTGCCGGGGTCTGATACCAGTTCCCGAGGAGCTTATAGTTGAGCTCTTGCACTCTGATGGTACCCTGGTGTGTTAGTATGTGTTCCCATCTAGACATGTATTTTGGGGGTACAGGGAGTAGAGAAGCGAGATCCCCCTGTCTGGGCGTTCTCTGGACGTGAACATTCATTTGAACTCAGTAAGTTCTCTGTGGACCAAGTGTTTGCCTATAATGGAGTGGTAGTAATGTTGGATCTGGTGGTAATGATATCTACCCATGTACGAGGGTGCCGCGGTGGGAGCCAGGTCGTGGAGGGGTTTGAGTTTCATAGCCGTGCATAGTTGTTTTTTATATACAGCAGTCTGAGCCCCCCAGCTCCGTGACGTCTCTAGGTGTAAGCCCTCCTGCTATCTCTGGGTTGTGGATCAGTGATGTCAAGGGCGATGCGGTCGTGGACAGCGCGCTCTTCAGCCGAATGGACATCCATACCTTCAGGGAGGCTCTGATGAGCGGGTTTTGGGAGAGCTCGGGTTCTAGGTGTGGGTTTGTCGTCCATACTGCCACAGGCAGTTTTTGTCCTACCTGAGCATTTTCCATTTCTCTCCATAGGTTTTCAGGGCCCTTAGTGTGTCAGTCTATGATGCGTAGCAGGTGTGTGGCTTGGTAATAGAGGGGAATCGATGGGAATCCCACTCCACCCAGCTGTTTGGGTAGAGTTAGGAGCGTTCGGCTCACCCTGGGTGGTCCCTTTGTCCAGACAAATCGAGTTATCGCAGTGGTGAGTGATTGGAAGAACTCCTTAGGTATAATGTTCAGTATGGTCTGGAAAAGATAGAGGAGTCTCGACAGTAAGTTCAGCTTCAGGGCATTGATCCTACCGAACCAGGAGATGTAGAGGCCACCCCAGGTGGTAAGGTCCGCTTGTAAGGTGCGGAGAATGGGTGCAAAGTTCTCTTGGTATAGTTGTGTCGCGTCTTTGGTGAGCCATAAGCCTAAGTATTTGATCTGGTGGTCACACCAATGAAAAGGAAACTGCGCTTTGAGAAGGTCCACCTCGCTTTTGGATTGCGTGAGCAGTAGTGCCTCCGATTTGTCCGCGTTGAGCTTCAGGTTGGAGACGGAGCCGTATTCCCGGAATCTGGCCATCAGGTTCGGCAGTGAGATCATCGGGTTGTCGAGAAAGAAGAGTAAGTCGTACGCGTAGGCAGTCACCCAATGTTCCTGTGTCCCGCATAAGAAGCCAGAGACACCCCCATCCCGTCTGACCGCCCCCAGGAAGGGTTCCAGGGAGAGGGCAAACAGGAGGGGGGACAAAGGGCAGCTCTGTCTCGTGCCGCTCCAGATTCTGAAGGGTTGCGAGAGGGCCCCATTGACCCGTAGCCTGGCAGAGGGTGTCGTATATATAGAGGAGTTAGCATGTGTGGTCCGAATTCCATCGTTCTAAGGGTCGCCATCATGAATTGCCAGTCTAGCTTGTCAAAAGCCTTTTCGGCATCCGTTGAGAGGAGGAGGGTTTTGCGGTTGGAGCTGCGCACCATGTGAATCACATTAAGGGCTCTGATGGTGTTGTCTCTTGCCTCTCTACCTGGTATAAACCCTACCTGGTCTGGGTGTATCAAGTGTGGCAGTACTCTCCCTATCCGCAGGGCTGCAATTTTGGTAAACAGCTTCAATTCGGAGTTGAGGAGGGAGATCGGCCAGTAGCTCGAGCAGTTGAGCGGATCCTTCCCATCTTTGGGGATCAATGTAATGGTCGCCGCCAGGGTGTCTGTTGGGAATCGACCCCCCTCCAGTATAGTGTTGAGGCTCTTTAGTAGGGGTGGCAGTAGTATGTCTCGGTATTTTTTATAGTATGTAGCTGGGCGGCCGTCTGGTCCCGGGGCTATATGCGTTTTAGAAACCTTTAGGGCTGCCTGAAGTTCCTCCATGGTGATGTAGTCTTCCAGGTTCTCTCTTATTTCTCTGGTGAGGGTTTTACTCACGTGCTGCTCTAGGTATTCATACTCTACTCACGCGTCTCGTTTGGGCCACCTCGTCCAGATCCATTGGGATGTTGTATAGGTCGGTATAGTAATGGTGAACGCGTCCATCATTTGGTCGGGGAGTTGCGTGACCCTTTCTTCCGGCTCCCGGATCTTAGTGATGTGGGAGAGTCGCCTCTTCCGCTGTAGCATCCTGGCTAACAGTCTCCCACACTTATTGGAGTGCTCATAGAAATGTCTACGAGACCTACAGATAGTGTGTAGGAGACCCTGGGAGAGCAGTTGCCGCAGAGCTCGTCGCACCTCCAGCAGGGCCTTGTATGTGTCCGAGGAAAGCGAGTTCTTGTGTGAGCTTTCCAGCGTGGCCACTTGTTGAGCTAGTTCTGTGACCTGGTGTCTCTGGGCTTTTTCACACACTTGTGAGCCGCCCACACAATCAGGGGGTTCGTGTCAGGTAAGTATCTTTGAAGGGCAGTCCGGGTCTCAGTCTGTGCTTCCAGAGTATGTGTGTGCAGTTTGTTCAGCTGTAAGGTACCTAACCGTGGTAAGGGCTAGAGCTTTGCAAACTCCTGGTTTTGGGTTCATCCTTTGTCCCTGCTTCCCACCAGATAACCCCCAGGTGACTGGAGCATGTGTGTGAGGTCCCTGTGAGTCCCCCCCCCCCCGGGCCCTTCCAATGGCTACCCGTGGAAGGCTGTATGTCATGCATGTGGGCGTCCGTGCTTCAGCGGACTTACCGTTCAGCTCCCCCCTGCATTTTCGCCAGGCATTCTCCTCCTTATGGTTCCCTCCATGTGTATTTCTGGTGGTGCCTCCTTGCCCAGGAGCTGACAGAACAGGGAACAGAGTGTGGTTGACAGGGGTTCAGTTTCTTGTTCAGGGAGCCCCCTGACCCTAATGTTCTGCAGCCTGCTTCTGTTCTCCAAGTCCTATACTTAGCGTCTCAGCGAGAGCAGCAAATTTCCCTGCCCGGTAGCAGCTGTTTCGGCTGCACGGTGTTGCTGGCAGCTCAGTTTTGCTTCCGCCTCCACCGCATTCACGAGGGGGGTCTCCAGAGCTGTGAGGTCAGTGCAGAAGCCCATTAGGTCTTCCTGGATCGCCTCCCGGATCTCACGGACCAGGTCACTGGGGTCTGCCCTGGTAAGCATACTACTTCCAATCCTGGCCAGTTCTGCCTTAATATCATGGAGGGTGTCCTCGGTCACAAAGTCGGCCGAGGATTCTCCGCCACTGGTCGTGTCTGGGGAGTCCGGCACCATGTTTTCAGGGTGTGTGGCGCCTTTCAGTCCTGTCGGCGTTAACACGAAGTCGGCCAGGGTTCCTGTGTATCATCGTGGGGAACCAGACCCGGCGGCCCCCGTCCCAGTGGGCTTCTTATTCCTCACCATTTGGGCTTTAATGTGGGTAAAAAGGCTGAGTAAATCAGTTTGGGTTGCGGAGCTCTGTTAGTGTGCGACTTGCTTCATGGACAGCTAGGCCACGACCCTCCATAACGGCCTTTTGATTGCCGTCAATACTTCTGTATATCTCGCTAATAATTTGTAACCCTTGTCTTTTAAATGTACACCAGAAACTTATTAGATTATTAAGAATTATACTATATTCTTCCTCTATGTATTTTGTACTATTCTTTATGTCCCAGAAAATATTAATCCGTTTATACGGATATTTTAAGTTAGCTTCTTTCAATGCGTAACATGGCAGAGATTTGTGATTCTCTAAATGCATCTGTATAATATGAGACAATAACGCTGCGTTCTGATATAAAAAAATATCTGGGAAGCCTATTCCGCCATGTCTTTTATTTAGGGATAAGAGATTTGAGCTTATCTTAGGCTTTCTTCCGAGCCATACGAATTTAGAGAAAGCTGTATTGAGCATTTCTAACCAGGAGTAAGGACCTCTAGTGGTATCATTCTGAAAAAGTAAATACATTTTGGTAGAATGTATGCTTTTCATATATTAACCATACCCCACCACAAAATCTCTAATGTTCTCCATAATTTTAACGAATAATAAGAACCCCTCAATAGAGGGCAGAAAATTTGCTTCAATCATCTTATTTTTTTTTTTTTTAAATTTCAGTAGGAGGGAAGAACATAGTTCAAAGGCAGATAGACATCAGACTTTTAAGCGTTAGGTATTCGCCTATAACTTCATAAGAGAATAATAGTGTGTATCGTAGGTTCAAGGGAGGAGAGGAATCAAGAGAGGAGGAGGGGTGGGGGTAAGGAGAAGGAGGAGGGGTGGGGTACCTAGAATAAGATAAGGGACGTTCATATAGAATAAACTAAGATAAAGTAGAATAGAATAGAATGTAGTGTCCCCCTTAAATCATCACCAACCCTCTTGACTTACAGTGAGCCCATTATCACTTGTTTATGTATGCTCGGAGGACGGCCTCTGGTGTTGCTTGGGCGCGTGTGTGTTAGGTTCCAGCAATTTATCTAGCACCTAGCAGTACCTGTTTAGAGATGTGGACAAAGGAGAGGGGGAATGAAGTAGTAACGGGCATGCACCCATCGTGTGAAGGGCGTGGTCGGAGTATCATGGTGTTTGGGAGTGTGCATTGGCCTTGCCCCGGAGAGCCCGGCGCCCCCGCATGTGTCGCCGTTTCCAACGTCCCTAACCCCGTGTGTTTTGTGATATGAAGACAAACCATGGAAGCCATCGCTCTGCGTGTTTACCTCCCCTGTCTTGCAGGGATGCCTGCAACGCTTCGGCCCCTTGGATATTCTCAACTCTGCGAATCCATTCCTCTTCGTGGGGTATTTCCGTCTGTTTCCAATATAGCGGGATGAGCGACTTGGCTGCATTTAAGAGATGTCGAAGGATGGATTTTTTTGTAGGAGGATAATGACATCTGCGATATATGTAAGAGGGCCAGTGCAGCTGACCAGTCCGTCATGTCGTCCAGTATTTCTATTATCCTCTGTCTGATCAAGTTCCAGTACGGGGTGATTTCGCTACACTCCCACCAAATATGCATCATCGTCCCCCTTTCCCTCTGGCACCTCCAGCATGTTGGGGCGACGGTTGGGAAAATCCTGCGCAGAAGGACAGGTGTCCTGAATCCAGGAGGCTATCAGTTTGTAGTTTGTTTCTTGAAATTGGGAGCTAACCGAGCTCTTGTGTTGCCAAATAAGCGCTTTGTTCCATTGTTGGGGTGTCAAAGTTGTGTCCATCCGTTCCTCCCATTGTATGCGTAACGTTGCGTTTGTTTTCAGGTGTCCTGTCCTGTCAGGTGTTGGTAAAGTGTAGAAATAGCATTGTCCAGTACGATCCTCCTCTCGCAGCAGTCCTCCAGCCAGGTGCATGCCCTATGCAGTTGTTCCTTATTCCGTATACTATCGTAGTAATGTTTCACCTGTAGGTAACGAAATACTGCCAGGGGTGTCCGGGGTTTTCCCTCTAATAGTGCGTCTAGGGTCCGCAATACTCCGTTCTGTAGGATCGTGTGGATTGGTATGTATTCGCGTCCTTCCTCAAAGGGCCACATCGTTGGTTGGAGTCCACCCCCTATCGCGTTATTGTTTTTGTTGAGGTTCCGCGTGCCACTCAACTATGCGCTGCAGGACCGTGGCTTGGTGATACTTCTTAAAGTCAGGTAGCGCTAGGCCACCGCGGAGTCTGGGTAGACAAAGTAGGTCGTGTCGCAGTCTTGCTCTCTCCCCCCGCCATACGTATCGTATGACCGCAGATTTCAAAGCGGAGAAGAAGGTGGTCAGCAGGGCAAGAGATATTGTTTGGAACGGATATAGCGGCCTCGGTAGGACGTTCACCTTGAGAACTGCTATCCGTCCATGCCACGAAATGTGTGGGTACGCCCATCTTTCCAAGTCTGTCGTTATTTTCTTCAGGAGGGGGGCGAAGTTGTGCCGGTATAGATATTTAGGATTCGGGGTTATCCAAATCCCGAGATATTTCATTTTTTGAAAGCACCATCGGAACGGGAACGGTGACTCCAGAGCCATATATTCATCATCGGGCATAGATACGTTTAGCACTTCGCACTTTGATAAATTGAGCTTGAAGCCGGAGATTGAGCCGAACTTCTCGAACTCTGATAGCAGGCAGGGCATCGCGATCCGAGGGCTGGTTATGTAAAAAAGGAGATCGTCCGCGTATGCGGCGACCTTATGGATCGTGCCCTGCCATGTGAAGCCCCTGATGTCCGGGTGTTGGCGTATCTTCTGAAGCAAGGGTTCCAATGATACGGCAAAGAGTAGCAGGGATAGGGGACATCCTTGCCTCGTACCATTGGAGATCTAGAAATCTCCGGTGAGTGCTCCGTTGACTCACACCGCAGCCCGCGGCTTGTCGTATAGAGCCCGAATCATCGTAAGGAATCTATGTCCCGCCCCCATCTGGCCGAGGGTGGCGAACATGTAAGGCCATTTCACACGGTCGAACGCCTTCTTGGCATCCGTGGAAATCAAGAGAAGGGGTTGTCGTGTATTCCTCGCTTGGTGTTGCAGCGCAAAGAGCCGTAGAGTACTGTCCCTCGCTTCTCGTCCGGGTATGAATCCCGTTTGGTCCTTGTGTATAAGGATGGGGAGAATGGATTGGAGCCTAGTAGCAAGCACCTTTGTAAAAAGTTTTGTATCCACGTTAATTAATGAAATCGGACGTTAGCTGCCACAGAGCATTCGGTCTTTTCCGGGTTTGGGGAGGACAGATATGGTAGCCGCCAGGGATTCAGCACCAAAGTGACCCCCGTCCGCGACAGCGTTGAGGGCCTTCGTTAGCCATGGCAAGATTATCGATGGGAACGTTTTATAATAACCCGTAGAAAATCCATCCGGACCTGGTGCCTTCCCCCTCTTGGCCGCCTTCAGAGCCGCCGCTAGTTCCTCCTCTGTGACCGGGGTCTCTAGGTCGGTCACCGCATCCAGCGGGATTGTTGGTCCGATCACATCGCGGAGGTATTCTTGTGTGCGTGCCATTATCGCTGCTGACTGTGACTGTGTTTCCATCGCATCTAAGTTGTATAGGGATCGGTAGAATGACTTGAACTCCCCTGCAATGTCCGTCGGGAAGCCAGAGGCCCCGCCCGATGCGAGGTGCAACTTGCAAACCTGGGTGCGGTGTGTCTGGCCTCTTAGTAGGCGGGCAAGGAATCGTCCCCCCTTATTAGCATGGGTGTAAAAGAATGCCTTAGAGCGTTGCAGGGAGCGGTGATGGCGCTTCATAAGGAGCTCCTTTAGTTGTCGCCTGGTTTGCATCAGGTCCTGGTATGTCTCCATGAGGTGTGACCTTTTATGCTGGGTTTCCAAATCCGTGATTCGCCTGTAGAGGTCAGCCATCTCGCTCATCGCTGCCTTCTTCTTATGTGAGGCTATGCGTATGAGCGTGCCCCGAAGGACGCTTTTATGGGCCTCCCAGAGCGATATCGGAGAGATGTCCGGAGTCGCGTTATCCTGAAAGTAATGGGTCAGTGCCTGGGAGACTTGTTCCCGCGTGCCAGGGTCCAGGAGGAGAGTCTCGTTAAGTCTCCATGTCCATATGGAAGGTCGAAAAAGTGGAGACTCGAGCTCCACTACAACTGGGCCGTGGTCTGACCACGTGGCGGGTTCTATCTTGGCCGATATCAGACTCGATAACACAGTTTATCTAATAAAGAGGTAGTCGATGCGGGAATATCTATCGTGAAGTGCGGAGTAGTATGTAAAGTCCTTCACGGAGGGATTGAGTGTTCTCCAGCAATCCGCTAGATCCATATCGCCCAGAGCTCTTCGGATAGCTCGTATATGTAGTTGTGTGACGCTGCTGTGTTCAATTATCTTATTGAGATGTGCTGTGATGTTAACTCCTAAATATTTATAGCTATTTTTTTCCCATCTAAATCCATATTGCCTATCCAATTCTTTAATTTCTTGGTTCTTCATATATAGTGACAGTGCCACAGTCTTTGACGCATTTAACTTATAATTAGATATGCTGCCATATTTTCTGTATGGAGTGCATTGCTTCTTTAGTAGATCTGAACGGATCTATGAGAGTCAACAAAGTGTTGTCTGCGTACTTATTTTTATTTCTCTATTTTTAGAATTGTAACCCCTGATTTTTGATTAGAGCAGATATCTATTGTTAGAGGTTCAGCTGATAGTATGTATAAGAGAGGTGAGAGAGGACATCCCTGACGGGTTCCATTACCCAGGTCGAACTAATCAGAGTTGATCCCTTGTCATATAATTTTGCCCAAAAAAGCTAAATAAAGGACCATGATAGCTTGGGTGATATGCCCTTGGAAACCAAAAGCCTTTAGCACCTTCTTGATGAAAGTCCAGTTGACCCTATCAATGTCCTCCAGGCATCTAATAAGGACGCTCTTAGAATTAGCTGATGAAGTTTACTAACTTGATTAATAAGATTCCTGTCTGTCTTATTCTTCCATCTTGTTTTTTTTATCTAACAAAGGATCCTGTACACAGTGAAAATCCCCAGCAACAATGACTGATCCCTGCCTGATCCTATCCAATCTAGACAAAAACTTAGCGATGAAACCCAATGGAGAATGATTTGATGCATAAATATTTGCTATGGTGTATACAATCCATTCTATCTCGGATATCAAAATTATCCACCTTCCTTCTGTATCTATGTCTTGGAATTTGATTATCAGATTTATATTTTTAGAGAATATTATTGCTACTCCTCTTTTTTTTATCATTAAGCGAGGATCGGATCATAAGAGAAAAGTTCTTTGTACTTAAATTAATTTTATCCTTCAGTCTCCAGTGAATTTCCTGTATACATCCTATTGAAACTTTTTCCTTTTTTAACCAATCTAAAAGCATGCTCCTTTTTGTTCAATGAATTAAGTCACAAACACTGGCCAAAGTTAGTGTTAATATTTGTTTGTGTGTGAAAATTTTTTTAAAAGACTGGACATACCCCATTTGCAATACCTTGGGTTGTCTACTTTTGCAAATGGTATGCCATCATCGGGGTAATTCTCATTCCTGGGCTACCATACAGTCTCAAAGGCAACGTAACCAATCTGGCGAATTTCAATGTGAAAAAACTGAAACGCAAGCCTTATATTTGACTCTGTAACTTTTGAAAACATGATAAAACCTGTACATGAGGGGTACTGTTATACTCAGGAGACTTCGCTGAACACAAATATTTGTGTTTCAAAACAGTAAAACGTATCACAACAATTATATCGTCCGTGTAAGTGCCATATGTGTGTGAAAAATGAAAATAAATTCACTTTCACTGATGATATCATCGTTGTAATACATTTTACTGTTTTGAAACACTAATATTTGTGTTCAGCGAAGTCCTCCGAGTAAAACAGTACTCCCCATGTACAGGTTGTATGCTGTCTTGGAAAGTTACAGAGTTAAATATAGTACTAGCAAATTAAATTCCCTGGACTTTCGGCCTGGGTTGTCAGGCAGGTCCCGCAAATTGTAATTAATAAAATAACCTAATTCTGTAAAATTATTACATAAATATATACGTAGAATTATTATATATATAAATATATATATATATATATATATATATATATATATACACACACACACGTGTGTATTTATATATGTGTATATATATATATATATATATATATATGTATGTGTGTATATAATTTTTTAAAATTATTTCTATTTATATATAGGTATGTATATAGTGATATATACGTATATTGGAAGAAAGAGAGGGGCTATGGGGTAGGGGAACCACCACCACTACCCCACAAAAAGGTTACAGAGGTTCAAGGGGCGTAACCCCACAATATATATAGAAAAAAAGAGACGAAAAATGGGGCAGACAGTCCACTCACAAAAAAAGTGGGTGGAATGCCTAGTCTTATTCAAAGTACCTCATAATGTAAATAGTCACATAGAAGAGGATAAACAACCTTTATTAGAAAAAATGCTAAAATGGTATATAGTCCAAATACTATTACCATACACTAAAATAGTGTATTGATTATAAGTTAACCACAAAATTTGTAAAAGCCTGGGAGAGGCTAATCCTGCAAGGTATGTTTGACTTAATAAAGGTGTAAAAATACACCTAAAATAATAAATGGGTAACAAAGCAGGTTAGTCTAAATCCATTCTAGGAAAGGACCCAACTGGGTAATTGGATAGAAAAAGGATAGTCTTAGAGCAGTGTCTGAGAGAATCTGGAAAGGGCAGGGTTAATAGCAACTAATGGGGCGCGCCCAAACTAATATCGAGTAGCTTATACTAAAGAGAAAAGGAGCTAATACCCCATAAAGAGAGGAAAGATAGAACCCCCCCCCCCTTGAGTCACCCTAAAAAAACTAACTATCCTAAGAGAAAAAGCAAAACTAACTGCTGCTTCGTGGCAGCCTATCCAAATCCCTAAGTCTGTATCAGGAGAAAATATAGGCGCAAACTCATGCGCTGTGGAAACCCAGGTAAATGAAAGATGAGAGTAAAGAAAATCAATTGAGTATAATAGCATCGGCTAAGTTAACCACCAAACTTATAAAAGCCTGGGAGAGGCTAATCCTGCAAGGTATGTTTGACTTAATAAAGGTGTAAAAATACACCTAAAATATTAAATGGGTAACAAAGCAGGTTAATCTAAATCCATTCTAGCAAAGGACCCAGCTGGGTAATTGGATAGAAAAGGATAGTCTTAGAGCAGTGTCTGAGAGAATCTGGAAAGGGCAGGGTTAATAGCAACTAATGGGGCGCGCCCAAACTAATATCAAGTAGCTTATACTAAACAGAAAAGGAGCTAATACTCCACAAAGAGAGGAAAGATAGAAACCCCCACCCCCTCCCCTCCCTCTGAGTCACCCTAAAAAACTAACTATCCTAAAAGAAATGGCAAAACTAACTGCTGCTTCGTGGCAGCCTATCCAAATCCCTAAGTCTGTATCAGGAGAAAATATAGGCGCAGGGCTAAGTACATAGGACGGCAGGGACGTGCTATGCCGCCCCCGGCATTTAGAGCCAGATCCCCCAGGGTGGCATAGCACGCCCGCCGTCCTTAAGTGGTTAAATATTCTTGTAATGAGGGTGTTATTTCTTCGGTCATAGTTGTTTTGGTGACTTCCACCTGCCAGATCTTTTGCCATAGGCTCAGTATCATTTTGCGGTTCTGATTCTGCCCTACTAGATTGTGGAGAGAAGAAGGATAGCCGTTTTTCGGTTTTATTATCAGACTTATTTTCTTTCTTATTAATGGCTTGCTTTGTATCTAAGTTTTTTTTATGCCATGGTAAATTTTTAAAACAAAAATAAAAAGGGAAAAGACTGAAGAAAAGATAACTGATGTGTGAGGTAGTCGCAACAAAGAGAGTTGCCTTTGCCTTGTTTCCTGAGTTTATTAAGGATTTAGTGATTTAAGGAGTAGCTGACGCTGTTTCTTTAAGTGGGCTTATTCGCTTAGCTATTGTTCCTTTTTATTTTAAGTGTATCTCTATATATGCTGATTTATTTGACACAAATCAAATGTCTTCCTTATATATTTCTCTCTTTCACCAAGCAAGAATTTCCAGACAAATAAAACACAGAGAAAAAAAAATTACAAAATGGGAATCCTGTTTTTTTGTTGCAATTTAGAGTCTCTACAGATGTGTACTTTAAGATATGCTCAGAGATTGCACCAAAGCCAGGCTTAGTTTGGCACTAAATCAAATGACTTTGCAGAACACCATATTCTTGGGGACAAGATAATAAATGTATCAAAATAATCAGCAGCCCAACAAATTTATAGCTTTACCAAAGGCCAGTGTTTCCAGTATGTTTTAAACACTTTTCACCTCCTCCCACAGCGGGTCTCTATGGACCTTATTTCAACTTATTTCGTCTTGTGGCCTGGCTCAACGGCCTAATTCTACACCATAATGCAGCCCCCGCTCAGTCGCCAAGGACCGGATTTCAAAATCAAGGACCCAGTTGCCTCTGTCCATTCCTCTTTCTCCCTGTATCACTTACTATACAAGCCAAGCCGTCTCTGTGTCATCCACTCGCAGTCCCGACCCTCCTTCTTATTTAACTTTCTCTCACTACATATTGCGGTGTATGCTGAGTCTCTCGCTTACGTTCAATGTGCCTTCACTTTAATGGTGCTGACACGCTGGTCGACATCAGCTTGTCGCTCTCTGCTCTCCACAACCAAACCCCCTACGTCTGCGTCCTACATCATCCCGGTCCCCGATCCCCAATCCAAAAAGATTCTGAGTATCATAGTTCAT